ACGTCTCTATCAGCAGTTTTCTTTCTGGCTTTGTTCCATTCCAGTCCTCTGTCAGTTAGGGACTGTAGGATGTTGTCTTCCCAGCGCACCCTGGGTCGTCACGGAGGTCTGGTTCCCTGGTTCTTAGCCTCCCATGCTTGCCATGGTGGCCGATTTTCTCCCATTCTGCATACATGTCCAAACCATCGTAACTGTGACTGATCTACTCGGGTTAGTAAGGGCTGGGTATCAAGATCTTGACGTATTGTCTGATTGCGGACTTTGTCCCTTCTTGTCACTTGGACCACCTTTCTCAGGTATCTCATTTCCGAGGCCTGCAGCTGGCTTCTGTAAGCTGTTGTCATTGCCCATGACTCACACCCATAGGTCAGGACTGGTACATAGGTAGAGCGGTAAACAGCCATTTTCGTCCTCTTGCCAATTTCTCTTTTGCTAAGAAACCCTCTATATATATAATACAATAACATAAGTAAATCACAGTGATTGTTTGCTTTTGTATCTTTCATTTTCCCTGCTGCCGTCTCGGGATTTCTCTGCTCGCACAAAGATGAGCGGGGTTTAATAAATCAGCGGGAGTAACGGAAAATTACAAGTATACATTCCTAATACTTCATGATTCTGTAACTCACAGATGAACAATATGCACATAAGCTGAGAAACATAACATTAGCGAACATATGGTTTCTGAGGAAAATGCTGAAGATACAACCAATGGACTGGAAAACAAATATATAAATTGACATGAAATATAAAAATATGTGATGATGTTAAATGACACCTACATGTAGTAATAATATTCAAAATAATATGTATTAAAAAAATGTAAAAAGAAAGCATATAAATCGTTGGGGTGGGGGGGGGGGCAGCCTTGCTCTCTTTCATGTGTCTGCGTGTTCATTTTCCAATACACCTGCATGACCTGGTGAAAAGATCAAAATATCTGCTCCCTGAGCTGTTAATTCAATGGACAGCAATCTAGAAAGGGAACTACTTCTTTGCGTTCAGTTTCATATGCTCAGATCAGACCATCAGGTGGGTTGCCTCTATAAACTTGCATGTCAGTAACAGGTCCTTCACGGTTCTCCATAATTTGCTCTTGGGGCCAGGTGTCTTTTCGAAATTGTAGGTAGAGTGGGCAGGTCTGCAGAATGTGCTCAGGTGTTTGTGGTCCTGTTTGACAGGCACATTGTGGGGACTGTACAATTTTTATTTTATGCATGTGGTAGTTGAGCCTGCAGTGTCCTGTTTGTAGATGGAAAATTGTTGTATACTGTTTTCTGCTGAGTCTGCTGATGAGGTCTTGTGGATGTTTACTGCTAGTTTGTTCTCTCCACAATTCCTTGTATTTGCCCTTAATAAGTGTTCTGATTTCTGGTAATGACAATGGATTGGTGTGTTGTTTCTCCTGTGTTCCATTTTTAGCAAGTCTGTCTGCTAACTCATTTCTCAGTAAGGGAACAAATGGTTGGAACAAATGTTGTGGGATTGGGGTGGGGGACAGAGGTTCAAGGGTCAACACATGATTACACGCTTATTCCCCCATGTTTATCATTGTCTACCTCTTGTTTCTCCCAATAAACAAATCAGATGCCGTCTCCACAATGAATGTGGCTGCAATGGATTCCAAAATGCTCTGTCTCTTATCTTGGCTGTACACTCTCACAGACTGCTGTTTGTCCAACTCTTGATGTTTTCCTCCCACTTAGATTATTGTCTACCTCTTGTGTTCAAGGGTCAACGCATGTTTACATGCTTATTCCCCCATGCATATCATTGTCTACCTCTTGTTTCTCCCAATAAACAAATCAGATGCCGTCTCCACAATGAATGTGGCTGCAATGGATTCCAAAATGCTCTGTCTCTTATCTTGGCTGTACACTCTCACAGACTGCTGTTTGTCCAACTCTTGATGTTTTCCTCCCACTTAGATCATTGTCTACCTCTTGCTTTCTTGTCCTCGTCCTTTGTCTCCAGTATGGTGTGTAAGGGTGTGCGCAGGAGCTTGGCACTGCAGCCAGCAGTGTTAAGGTTGGCTTGCTTCTTGTGAAAAGTGACATTTAGGTAACCTCCAACAACCTGTAGAGCTTCCAGGTCGACCCCACATCCTCGTGGTACACCCTGAAAAACTGAAGCCACAAGGTTTCAGGCTAACGGGCCAGTGGCCTGCCAGGAAGGAGACAGACACCGGCCAGGTTAGAATTTTTACTGCCCTGCCATGCGAAAGGGCCTAGCAAGCGGGCAATTGTGTATTCAACCACTACTAGAAAGAAATATTGAATTATAGGAATTACGAATGCCAGTATTAGAGAGAAAGTTGGAATAAGACCATGTCTGGGTTATAGTGACAGAAATAATGAAATGGTTTGGCCACCTAGTGATAGTGCAACAAGACCAAACTTTATATGAGACATTTACAACGGAAATCTAGGAGGAAGACCAAGAAAAGAATGGATAAATTGTGTGGTGAAAACCACCAAACAGATGAATAATTCCTCCTCAAGACAAATACAGAAAACTACTACACGACTAAAACCTGGTATCAGTGAGACGACAAAAAAAGAAGATGGTTTTTAAAAGAGTCTTATGTCTTTTGATACTGCAAAAATATTTAAGTTGTCCTTTTTTTTTTATTAAAATTTCTTACAAGAATTCTTTTTTTTTTTTTCAATTGTAGTATTTTCAGTACCTATTCGTCTGTATATCCACATTTTCAGTACCTATTCGTCTGTATATCCACATTTTCAGTACCTATTCGTCTGTATATCCACATTTCCAGAGACTCAGCTCGATTTTCTAGCTGTTTGTTCATTGTCCATTTGATGATTCTCATTTTTACTTGAGTTGATTTGATTCAAGAACTGACATCAAATCACTCGGGGCATTTTCAGAAGCGCTATGTCCCTATCTTCAACAGCCAGCCTTGATTTCCAATATTAATTGTACCAGTAGCAGTCTGATGCTGTGTCCGTCTTGCCTTTCCTCTGAGCGTCGAGTATCGGCAAGATCCCCTCGTCACTCCTCTGCATCACTACCACCATACTGTGATGATCAATTTCCTGTTCCGAATTTTACAAGTGTTCCCAAAAAGTCTTATCCACGTTTGCCTTATGTTTTATGTTATCACAATCGACGTCACTGCATATTGGGCATTTCCATGCATGCTCAGTCCTCCGATGCAGCAGCCACTCCAAAGTACTTCTACTAATTGTTGCCATATGAAGCTGGTTATATTGTCTCCTATAGATGTGCTTCACCATGCTTTACTCCCATGTCACGCAATCTTGTTAGTGTCAGGGATTCCTCATTACCCACTAGCCCAGTCCGTACAGCGTTGACGATATCTGCTCTGTCCAGGCTTCTTCCCACATGCCTTAGTGCAATGCTCGCTCATTTCCGTTTACGCCCGCATGACCACGTGTGTAGATCCAGGTGATGGAGGTTGAGTGCGACTCTTGAATGCTTTCTACCCATTCAGAGGGCATACCGCCTGTTGCTATCTTCTGAAGCATATTCATGGAGTCTGGTACAACTACTGCCTGTGTGGTGGTTTGCTCGGATACCCATGATCATGCTCTAGATACAGCAGATATTTCCATGGTCATATTTGACGTGGTCTGCCTTATTATACATCAGTAGTCCCATCATTTTTCGGCCATGTTATGAGAAGAGGGAAAATAGAACATGTTGTGACCACTGGAAAGATCTGTGGAAAAAGGGATAGAGGAAGACAACAAGAGAAGATGCTTGACAATCTTGTTGCATGGCATGGAGGTGTGTCGGCACCTGAACTGATACATGCTGCAGGAGATCGCAGATTATGGAGAGGCATGATCGCCCACGTCAGTCGGCAAGGCACATGAAGATGATGAGTCCCAAAAAATGCGCTATCAGTCTTTGGGGAAATGACCCAGCAATATATAACATTAGTTAACTGGAATTGTCTGGTGCGAAAAGGCGATGAGGAAAGGAATTGACTACATTCCCCATGTTTCGTAGATACTTTCTTAAAAATTTACTTCAACTGTAGTATCTTCATGTGATTACCTTTAAAGATAGTAAGTAAAGGACCCTTTTTCCACGCCTTCATGCGTACTGGGCATTCAGTGAGAGATGTGATCATTATCACACAGGTCTCCTTTACTTCCCATGACTTTACATGGTAACAGGTTAAGGTTAGGTCAGCCTGGGAGCCAAGGTCATTTATAAGGGAAAAAAGTATGGTTCGATTCGGATTTGAACCCACGACCTTCGAATCCCCAGACGAATATCTATATTACGATGGCTCCCAGATAGTGAGTAGAGGATTTTTTTTTACGCAAGTGTCGAGTCGGGCATACGATGCTAAGATCACATTTTTATAGACCAATTAGCATTGCATTTTAATAGTTGTGAAATACAAACTCTGCGAGGAAAATACAAAGCATAAGTGGCGGTCGACAATTTCCTCCACATATATAAGTCATCCCCTGGTGGGATGCAATTTTTTTGTTATTTGAAGCCCGCCCGCCCCCACACACACACACACACACACACCAGTAAAGAAGTACAGATGCCGTCCAGCACCAAGAACAGGATATTCGGATGCAAGTGAAGTGACAGTAGAGAAGTGCACAAAGTCGGAAGACTGTCGAGAGACCGAGTTTTTTGTTTTTAGCAGGATGGGATGAGAGCGACGTTCTCCAAATGACCTCCTATAATTTACAGGATGATGAATTATCACTAATAATTAGCACTGGATTGGTGACGTTGGCAGCACCCCACCGGCTACATTTTTCCCTCTCGACATTTCTTGATACCTATTTTTTACTATGTCGACCCAGGAGTCTGGATAATTTAATTTCAAAAGAAAATAATAAGTTACAGATTCGAAACCAAACCAGTAAGCCAGTAGGGAAGTTTACCCCTATAACAGTCTACAAACAAGAAGTAAACTTTTACGCTGGAGATGTAAGAACAAGGGACGCTACTCTTTTACCATTAAAAACTTTAAAGGCGTAAACATGTCAGAAAAGGAAGAACGAGACAACGAAAGTGATGTTTCAACTCCAACACTCGCAGCGGCTGAAGCAGCAGAATCCGATTCAAAGACGACTTCTGAAAGCCCAAAACTGCCTTCGTCGCCAGTCGTGAAACAGAAGTCGAATTCTAAAGGTTAGGACATTTCCAAGTGATTTTATTTTTACTTACGTGTTCAGTGTCGAGTCCTGGCTAAGTACTTTAGTCAAATTTTCAAAATGCCCTCTACACCAATAAAACCAGCACAGTTAGATAGCTGTTAACAATCTTTTTCCAACGGTACCTCATTTAGGCTTGTGTGTCATTTCTGAGCTGAGATATGTAGGTTTTTGTGGAGATGTCCGAGATGAGATGTAAAAAACAGCTGTTGAAAACTTGCGACCCAGAAACAAGAAGTTTCTCTGCGCAACCAAACTGCACACTTCTGTTTTGGCTTTGTTGACATTGAACTGTCATTGGACAAGATGGCAGACAATGAGACACAGCCACATACCGATTGCCTAAAAAATGTCACTGTAAATTTAAAAAGCCACTGATAAGAAAGAAATTTTATTTACAAATGTAAAATTGGAAGGAGAATTCAATTATAACTAGCATTACCAGTACGAGTAATGTTAAAGCCTAAAGCCAACCTCGAATACTTAACGCTATTTTCCTCCATGATAATTAATGATAATTAGCGATTGCCAGAAAAATGTCACTGTAAATCTAAAAAGCCACTGATAAGAAAGAAATTTTGGCTCTACTGGCAAATCCGGACGAAGATTAAAAAGCCTTGGACGACTTAGTCAGAGTTCTCTCCTGTCGCCGCACTCCAAACAGTGATCGGAAAACAAACAAAACAAACGACACACTTACCTATCATCCTGTGGTTGCGTGTAGGGCTGCGTACGGTTGCGTGAGGCATCGTGGCATCATCATATGGTTGCGTGCAGGGATTAGAGTTAGGGTAAGGGGTAGGGTTAGGGTTACGGTTAGGGGTAGGGTTAGGGTTAGATGTGAAAATTTTGACGTAGGATTTAGAAATACTGGCCGACAATATGATGTTTGTGGGAGTGGCGCCACTGACACTCTGCCAAATATGACGCCAATAGCGTGCGGCTGGTGCCCCAAATCGTTGGCGAATTGTGCGTGTGACCAGCATCCAGAGGCCCTCGATTGTTTGTGTGTGTGTATGGGACTGTGCGCGATTATAGGGAACTCCGGCGTCAAAATTGTCAAATCTAACGCTAAACCTAACCCTACCGCTAACCCTAATCCTAATCCTACTCCCTAACCCTAACCCCTACCCCCTAACCACGCAAATTTATCGATCATTACAGCATACAAATCGGCAAACACCAACAAACAAAACACACCCAAAAAAAGAATTGTCCTGCAGCGTCGAAAAAAAAACCAGATCTGGGGGAAACAACCAAGCATTGGCAGCCCTGATGTCGACGTGACTTGTCTTCTTTGTTTCGTTGTGGCTTTTCCGATCACTGTTTGGAGTGCGGCGACGGGAGAGAACTCTGACTAAGTCGTCCAAGGCTGTTTATTCTTCGTCCGGATTTGCCAGTAGAGCCGAAATTTTATATACAAATGTAAAATTGGACGGAGAATTCAATTATAACTAGCATTACCAGTACGAGTAATGTTAAAGCCTAAAGCCAACCTCGAATACTTAACGCTATTTTTAATCAAACTGATGTAACAGAAAAACAGAGGACGTCCGGCTGTCGTAGACATGCGCTGTTAATCGGGTTCCTTCCCGCCGTTTTCAGCTTTTTATAGTGGGTGAAAATCACACCAACCGCAAAATTTCATGAGAGATTAGGACCCATCCCGAAACCCCAGCCGACATTTGCGAAGCAAGTTTCGAACGGTTTCCATGGTAACGGAAATTGCCAAAAGACCGCCAATTGTCGAACACCGTAGTCGCTAGTCCTGGCAGTGAGTGTCAGTATCACAAAAGCCTACTCACCAGTCATACAAGTCAACACAGTATCAATCATAAGTTTTCACCAGCATTTAGTTACACTGTTACATTATGAAATGTAACAGATTAATTATGTAACTCATTTGCAGTGTCATAAAAGTTTTAATGCACACTGAACATTGTGTTAACGATTATTATGATTTCCCCCCCCCCCCTCTCCCCCTCCCCCCCCCCCCCCCCCCCATGGTGACGATAATAATATTATGGTTCTCCTGCAATAACGGTCGCTACTTGGACAGCGACGGCCGCTTAGTCGGAGTTCAGTCCCCTGGCTGGCTACAGTGCAATTACGGAGTGGACAAGGCAAGAATCACAAAACAAATTGAGTTCAACATGGCTTCTAGTTACATGTGTTACCCTAACCCTACCCCTAGCCCTAATTATGTCATTTGTTTCGTTCCCTCTTTTCCACTCTGTAATTGCACTGCAGCCAGGGGACTGAAATCCGACGAAGCGGCCGTTGCCGTCCAACTAGCGACCGTTATTGCAAGGAGAGCCAATATTATTATTATTATCTTGAGCTGAAAGTGGGACATCGCACTAATTCTTTTGGTTGAACGCGGGACTGCCCACTAATATTTTTAATTTGAGCTGAAAACGGGTTATCACAAGCAAGTCAGTTTATTTCCCCACCCCTTTTTGTATGAAAATCGAGGTGAGCGGGTTAATTAGTCGCTCGACAATGGTATTGAGTATTGAACCCAGAACCATTGCCACCCTAACAATACAGTATGCTCTTTAAGTACTTTAACTGCAGTGAAAAAAACATCCTAAAATTAAAATTATCATCAACACATGGGATACATTAAAATTTTCTAAAACTATGAAATATAAAAAAAAATCTACGTATATAACTATCAGTTATGTTCTATCCTCGAGTTTATTAATGGATTTTTACAAAATTGGACAACTAGCATTTTTTTTTTAAAAACCAATGGGGTGTAAGGGATTTTTTACAAGTGCAAAAATGCACACAGGCGTCCGATCTTACTACCCAGAGACCAGGGGAAATTACTAGAAGTCCAAGTCCGCATGAAAAAATCCCAGCCCTTACCGGGGATTGAACCTGGAGCCTCTAGCACTCGAAGTGGACACCATGCCTTGAGACCACGCAGCCCCCTGATCAAGCATGAAGGTTGGACAAGATTGAAAATGAATGATTTTTTGTGCTACAGTAGTGTAGGATTTTTAATAGCATAATTTTATTGGTGAACTGAGTTGATTTAAGAACTGACATCACTCGGAGCATTCCCATAAGCGCTCTGTCCCCATCTTCAACAGCTTGTGCAGAGTTGCGATACCAATAATGCCAGTAGCAGTCTGATTACGTGTCCTTCTTGCCTTTCCTCTGAGCGTAGAGCATCGGCCAGACTCCCCTCATCACTCCTTCATTCCTTGCTGCATCACTCTCACCAGACTTAGGTGACCAGTTAGCTTTTCTGAATTGTACACATGTTCCCATATCTTTAACCATGTCTGCCTTATCATGCATCAGTATTCCACCAAGTTTCATTGATGAATGTGAAGGCAACATTGCAAGTGTGAAAGTTAAAGTAGAGAACCTTTTTTCACACCCTGAGTCCTGGGTATTTGATGGATGCTAGACCCATATTTTTGTAGACCAGTTAGCACTCACTGCGTGACATGCTCCAAATTATTCCAGCTGCCTGAAACTTCTAGGACATTCCCTAGTACCATTTAAAACTGGGTCAGCCTGGGAGCCTAGGTTGGCCTAGAAACCTAGGTCAGTTTTAAAAATCGACCTTGATGTGGATTTGAACCCAAGATCTCTGAGCTTCAGGCAAGCATAAAATCACTGCAGTACCACAGCTACAGTATGGCTCAAGTGTTCTAGAGGCAATAACACATTAGATTCATGTTAGTATTTAACAGTAGCTTAATCTTTGACAAATTACCTACCTGTACTCTTTTTCCTTTGCACCAAAGTGGACATACTTCTGAAGCCAGCAGGGGATGCACCAATCATGAAAAAGAAGAAGTGGACTGTGGAGAGATCCAGAAAGATTGCAGGAGTTGCTGAATTCATTAAAAAATTCATCAAGATGGAACCATCAGAATCTTTGGTAATGATGTTTGTTGTGTTTCTATTCTTGCATTATTGTTGGTTTTCACTGTTGCATCTTTCACTGTCATCAAGTACCATGCCAGCTGGCTTAGGCGATCATGCCTCTACACCACTTATTTCTAACAGCGTCATCAGCTCAAGTGCTGGAATACATGCCATGACAAAAGGCTGTCAGGATTCTTCTTCCATGTCTTTCTCTATCTCTTTTTCTCCAAATCTTGCCGTTGGTCACATGTTCTTACTTCACTTCTTCTTCTTCTTCTTCACTTCCTCTTTTACCGCTGTAGGTGTCGAGGGAGATATAAGGTTCTGTTTCTGACTCTTCTGGCCACCTCGACCATAGGCACATCGTGCTGTTGTAGAGTTTCTCTGATGTTATCCTTCAATCTTGTTCTTGGTCTACCTCGTGCTCTACGTCCTTCTTCTCTTTCCATGTATGCTTTGTATGGTATGGTGTCACAAGGCATTCTCTCTAAGTGGGCAAACCATTTCACTTGCTGTCTTTGTATGTAATCCAGAATTGGTTCTGTGCCGACTTTTTCTCTTATGATCTCATTCCTAATCTTATCTCTTATGGTCACTCCTACAGCCCTTCTCAGACACTTCACTGTTCTCATAAAATGGTCAAAAAATGCAGGACAGATCATCCTATTGAAAAGCCTATGTGAATTAAGGAGTGTTAGGATTCTTCAATTCCTCTGCCTGCCCAGTAACATCATCATCACCCTGTTGTGTCATTTATAGATCTCATAGTGATGATTGTGTTCTGTTCTTTCTCCTTTGATCCTTCTGTCAGAAAACTTATTTCAGGAGGCCGGTAGCCTTTATGAAAGCTATCGTGCAAAATATATCCTCTCGTGTACCATACAGTTTTGTCTTCAGTGTGGTTGGAACAGGCCAGATTGCGTCTCTGTTGTCAGCATACAGTTGACAGTGTTGGAGCACACGCTCAGCATTTTCGGGTGCCACGCTGCAGGGACACGCTCTTTCATCCCATTCTATTCTGTGCAGTCTTTTTAGTACCATGGATAGAGTCCACTCAGCCTCTTTGGTCTTTCAGATCAGCTTTCATCTTAGGGTTTGGACTTTCTAATTTCTCCAATCAGTTTCTTTCTCATTTCAATGCCTGTTTAGTTTTTTGTGTCCTATTCTCAGGATATGCTCAGTGTGCTGCCATCTGGGTAACATTGTGGCAACTGATTCTATGGCCATGCAGTTGTGTAACGTTTCTAGTGACAGTTGTTTAGAATTTGGCAAGACCTGAAGACAGACTTGTTCTTACAGCATTTGAATGTAGTATTTAAACTATTATATTATTTTTTTCTGAAAAAATATTTTAATGTAGTATTTAAACTATTATATTATTTTTTTTTCTGAAAATATATTTTAATGTAGTATTTAAACTCATAAAATATTATATTTAAACACTTGTATTTTTTGTAATAAAAACACAATACTTAAACAGGTGTATTTATTTTATGAAAACACTATATTTAAACACGTGTATTTATTTTTATGAAAATGCACAATTTAAACACATGTATTTATTTTTATGAAAACACTGTATATTGTTTAAACTCCTATTGAATTCGTTCTCTCAGTTCCTTTATGTAAACCAGTCGTTTGCTCCAAGTCCAGACACTGAAATAGGCTCTATATTTGATGTAAGTATTAGTAAGTAAGTAACAATGAAAGATCCTTATTATGCCAGTAGTTAGTTAGTTAGTTAATCGACAGATTATCTTCATTGCACGTGGAACAAGTTCATAAGCACTCCTGTCCCATCCTCAGTATATCCCCCAGCGTGTGGTGACTGACAACACCAGTTCTGTGTTGGTTTACTAATCTTCTTTGGCTACCTGTATAGTGTTCATATTTGTTGACAACTCTTGTGACCTGAAATTTTTGTAGTCTTTTGAGTGTTGCCGATTCAAGGTCATCTCCTGAATCATCTTGTCAGCCTGGTCCATAGCTTTTCCTATACCTACAGTGGCCCCGTCAGCAAGTCAATCTGCTCATTCATTCCTTCTTACCTCAGAGTGTCCTGGCACAAAAATAAAATTAATTCTATTCAGATGAGATTTCCTCAGGAACTTTAACCGTTTTCTCTGAATCCATCCTGTCACTTTCTTCTTAAACATGCTGATGGAATCACTTCAAAAGCATGCATGGAAAAAATGCTGTGTCTCAAGCCACATCCTTGCTTTTGTTACCGCTGTAGCCTCCGTACTAATACATGCTGCAGGAGATCGTTGATTGTGGAGAGGCATGATCGCCCACGCCAGTCAGCAGGGCACCTGATGATGATAATAGCCTACGTAGTTAGACTACTTGTTTTCGAGGTAAAAGCCCCGCTATCTTCTGTTACAGTTTTTTCCTTGAAACAGAACTGTGAAAGCCCATGAACTTTGTACATGTTGAACAACGGATCTGTCAGTGTAGATAATTGCGACTCCGTCAGCAGAGTTTTCAAGATTTAAGGCTTGAACTTCTGCCTCAACCACCAACAGGCCTTGTTGTCTACAGTCTCTATCAAGTTTTATGCAGGTTGAAAAGGATGTACACCACTCTGCTAGCACTTTTAACCATTTCTCACCGGGTTCTATGTCCTCATTTGAACAAACTTGTTGAATAATATCCTCAGCCTGGCCCACCCAGGATGTTCCTCTTTTTAACCTGCAACCCTTCTTCCTGCAAATCTCACTGTGCAATGGATGGTGTGTATCAGCACTGATACACAGATACACATGGGCTCGACAGATCACTGTTCTTACTTCCATGGTTGGAAGATTGAAGAGGTAACCCATCGCTCTGCATGCTGTATTCCTTGTGCAATCAATATGATTAAGAGGTAACGCATCGCTCTGCATGCTGTATTCCTTGTGCATTCAATATGATGCACATGGCCCCATTCTGTATCCGACCTCATCTCTCTATCTGTGTACGGCTAAGAGTATGCACGTAAGTGTTTTAGGTATATGGTGCTAGACTCATATTTTTATAGACAAATCGGCACTGAGTGGGTAATGTGGTCAGTATCGTGCTGGCCACCTTTACTTCCCAGGACATGGCCTGGCACCCATTTTAGGCTGTGGTAACCTGGGCACCAAGGACAGTTTAAAAAACAAAAGCCTGGCTCAATGCTGATTTGAGTCAAAGATCTTTGATAACTGTGTATTGTCACATTCATACACATACAATTCATCATAATTATTTAAAAGTTACGAACAGTTAATACTATTTTGAGGAGGGGTCAACGCGGGGTAGCGGATAGATGCTCACCTGCGGATAGGAAGGTCGTGGGTTTGGGTTCTGACAGAGCTGGACTTTTTTTAAAGCGACTTTATTGAAATAGTTATAAGAATGAGGCTGGAAGTAATAATTATGGTAGCTATCCAACTCAAAAACTGTTTTCAGTACTTTTAGCAAGTAAAATATTCAACATTTTAAAACTCTAAACGGTAGTCTAAAAGATAGTTGTATGGAACTAGCTCAGTCTCTTATGAGATATGCCTGGCCGAAATAGAAAGGAACAGAATTGGATACACAGGGGAGGACATTAGGGCCAGATACTAAGGAGGGGAACCGGACCGAAGATGACCCAGGAAGAAAAACACCAGGAAGACATGGACAAAAAGGACACACCAAGACAAAGACAGGAAGAAGCGGTCTGGTGATGAGGACGGTCATAAAGCCAGTTAGCTGGCTCACATACCATAATCTTAGCCACAAAAGTGGCGCAAATAAAACAGACCACAAATGTAACCAGAAACTTGTGTTGTATTGAACGGGGTCAAGTTTTTTTCTAGAACAGTCAGTCAGTTGATAATTATGATAGTCATTATCACAGCAATTCATAATTGTATCCTGTTGTGATTTCAGTGTTTTGGCAGTGATGGAAAGCTGGTACTTCATTATTGTCGGACACAAGCCTGGGGATAACAGTTGCAGTCGATTAGCATTGTCAGTATTGATGTGTGTTAATGCAGCTTACTTTCATTAATCGTCATCATCAGCAGCAGTCTCCACTTCTGCCACTAGGCGTTGTGGGGAGGAACATTTTGCGATCCATTATTTGACGGGTAGCAATGACTATTGTCATTCCCTGTCGATTTAGAAGCTTTTTAATGTCATCAATCCATTTTCTCCCAGAGCGGCCTCTTGCTTTCACTTCAGATCTTCTCTCGCCTGCGTTGTTAGTTGTTCTGGCTGCATTCTTACTTAATGACCAGACTATTCGATCTTCTCTTTCTCAATGAATTTGCTGCATGGTGTTGTTCCTATAGTCTGTATGATAGGATTTTTTTCTAACTTTATCCAGATGCCGTGTGTATTGTTGTGCATGTAAAAAAAAAGAGAGAGAGAGAATAGCCTAACGGTGCTGCCCAGGCAAAGTTTTTAGTTCAAAATTTACCTAAAGTATCTCAGGATCTTTACTGGTTAACAGAGTTTGTGCACTGCGCTGAGATTCTTGAAACTCAGGCTTGAGTTAGAAGTAGAATGGAGCACTTATGGGTTACACCCGTGTGCCATGATGTTGATCCGTTGAATAAACAATATCCAGAATCTTCTCCCTTGGTCTCTCCAACCTCTCTTCCCCTCCAGATTTTCCCTTATCATGATGTGCTGTGGTTGTTTTCCTTCTTACGATGTGACAGAGGATGTAGACTGTCTCCTTGTGACACGGATAATCAGTTCTCTTCATGAGATTTTTGTTCAAGACATCTACATTACATTTTTGTATCTATCCACAGTGCTCTTATCATTGGTCTACAAAACGGCATCTCTGCAGCTCCCACATAATTTATCACTAATGGGCCTACTGTCTACGACTGACTTTGGGGCATCAGGATTGGTTCTACATAGCTCTTAAGATATTTCTTTCTATGCAGCTTACACTGACTATTTTGTGAAGAAATGTTAAATGTTCTATACCAGAGGTATATATATTGATACATGCTGTTGAAGATCCTAGGTCGTAAAGAAGCATGATCGCCCACCCCTGACAGCAAGGCACTTGTTGATGATCTATGTGCTACCATTTTGAAAGTAATACAGTCATGAACACTTTATTGTTGTTGTTTTCATTTTGGGTCTGAAAGAGTTAATGGAAGAATATCAGGGTTTTTTCCCCTCAGTTGAGTTGTGTTAAGAACTGTCATTGTAGTAACTCTTGATGTTCCTATATGAGCTCCATCCCCATCCTCAGCAGCCAGAGTGGAGTTCCAATTATGATGGTACCAGTAGCAGTCAGATTGTATGTCCATCTAGTCCAGGGCTATTCAACTGGTGGTCCACAGGCCAGATGTGGCCCACAGATCTTTGACAGCTGTTTTATGTTAATGATTTTACTGTGCCAGGGCTCGATCTCTGGCCAGTGAAGATCTCCATTTTCAAACTTTTGGCCCATAAATAAGTTGAATAGCCCTGGTCTAACCTTTCCTCTGAGTTTTGAGTGTATGCCAGATCTCTTGACCATGATATTGATCTGTTTGTGCTTCCGCACTGTTCACTCGCCCTCCTGGGGATTATGCTCCATAGCTATAATGTTTGTGCATCGCTCTCGGCGGGCTGTCAGCCTTTCTGTGGAGAGTGATCAAATCATATGTGATAAAACCTGGTACAGTGAAGGTGATCCTCTGGACTTTAACCTTAAACTCACTCACTCTCCAAAGAGCCTTGTCCACATCTAGATTGTCGTACATCAGTTTACAATCCAGTAGTTTAGAGCCAGTCATTTGTCTCTCACATGAACATCTGTACTTCATAAGCTAAGGTTCTGTTTTTGTGTCTGAAATGTAAGTTTTAATCAAATTAGTGCTTCATAATTTCGTTTTCTTGACAATGCTTTTGTTATCATGACAATGTTGTATATATGATCTGTAGTATATATTTGGTGTAAAGATGGACTTTGTATTCTGAAGAGTGTTAAATATTTATGACAGGTCATATGTCTGGTAGTCTTAGTTTCAGCTTCATAGCAAACGGGTCACCCCATCTTTGCTCCGCTCCTGTGCCAATGAAAAACACACAGGATGTTTAACACAGTCCCTTGTGGAGAGATTGACAGACTGCTGTCTCAGCATATCTAGCAGGTCATATGTGTTTGTATTTGATGTGAATACTTGTGCGCTATTCAGTGATGGTTACTTGTGCAGCAAATTTGTGCTTTGCATTGCTGAATAGTATTCATGTTTTATTTTTGATGTATTATGTGCATCCCTGAGAGCAATGGTGGTGTAGCCACTAGATGCTCTGCCTGCAGGTCCCACTCTTGGGAAGTAAATGCAGCCGGTGGGATGTTGACCACATCACCCTCCAGAGGCCTGAAAAGGGTCCCTTACTTTTTTACTTTACTTCATCCATGTTTGTCTGCATCTATGGCTTAGGATTGTGAATGCGCTTTATAGTGCCGGGATGCCGGGTTTGATCCCAGCTGTGGGCCTTGCGTTGGTTTCGGCAGTGGTATCAAGAAGCCAACTATCCAGAAAGCAATGTCAAACTACTGGATATAAATTTGCGGCTATCCTCCGACTAACGGTCGGCAAAGATGGCGGCCACAAAATATCCTTTCGAGCCAGAGTCGCGTGTCAGTTGCGCACTAGAGCACACCGTGGCTGCTGTTCGTGGGTCCTAGACATCTAGTTTAGCCCCATTCCACGCCGCTGACCCGGCGTGGGGGACATGTGGCGGTGGCGATAGTCGCCGGAGAACCCCAAATTAAGTCGCGCGACTCTGGCTCGAAAGGATATTTTGCGGCCGCCATCTTTGCCGACCGTTAGTCGGAGGATAGCCAAATTTGCCTAGAAAAACCACAACTAAAAAATGCTGGTGTTGGTTCTGCAGTGTCCTGTAAAAGCGTACATAGCTAACAAATCCATGTTTTCCATTCGGTGGTCCTTAGACCCTAAATAAATTGGGGAACACATTTAAGGGGTCTGTGGTATTTACCAAAATAAAGGTAACTTTAAAATGCATTACTTGTTTTTATTGTTTACTGGCATCATGGGATATGGTGGCTATTTCTTTCTCACGGCCATCATTTCCCAGACAATTCCTCAATTAATTTACTAACATTTTTTTTCACGGTAAGTGTTTACAATAGCTGTAATTATTTATTAACATAGGTAAAAAGCTATGATGGCTCATGTGACTATAATAATATGAGGAACAGTGAAAGAATTATGCATTTTACCTTGGAGGAAACAAAATATATACCTGGAACTTTGTGGAAACTTTAACCCTTTTCCTTGTTTTTACCTCTCAAGGTGAGACACTACTCTGACCTCTGCTTCACCTGGTTTCAGAACTCCTTGGTCTGAGCCTAGGCACATTTCTCCACTTCTGCAATCAAATCTTGACCTTTGAAAGAAAAAAAATGACCATCCACTTCACTCACTGGACTTTGCATTCATTGACTTCCTATTTCCAAACAAAAATTGAGTTGGGTTGAAAATCAACATCGCAGCACTCTGGTCATTCCCATAAGTGCCCCATTCCTATCTTCAGCAGCCATTGCAGAGTTCCAATTCTGATAGTACTACTCAGTCTGATTATTTGTGCATCTTGCCTTTTCCTTGAGTGTTGACCAGATCCCCTGGTAACACCCTGCTGTTCCATTCCTTCCAGACCATGATCTATTTGTGCTTTTGCATTGCTGTTATTGCTCATCAAGTGATGCAGACCCAGCCAGTCTGTCTGGTTTATTTCATGACATGTCTGCAGCGCAGCTCATCTCAACTTAGTGAATTAAACTAAACTTCAGTTGATTGTGTCTGAAGAATGGTCAGAATGGTCCCTGCACACATATAAAGGAGCACTTAATAGAGCTCTCAAAGTCAAGTGTAAGTGTTTCTCGGTGCAAACCAGCTGTTTGTATTCAGTTCTAACATTTGTTAGAGTTACAGCAGTGTGCTGTGTTCATTATTGATTTATTTATTTTTTTCAGTAAAAACTATGGTGGTTTTTAACATATAAACATGCATTTCTTACTTAAATCATAATTGTTTTGTTTATTTTATAGTTTTTTGTGGGGGGGGGGGGGGGGGGGGGTTAAATTGTATTATAATAAATGGATCATTATTGTCTTTTAAAACGTGCTGTGGATGTGCTATTTGTTGATGTAAGGCCGCATGCAAGTTATGGACGATATGATGTGGTAATTCATGCCATAGTTGTTTACAATTGATACCTTTTATATGATTCCAGAATGCAACTACGAATCATATTTCAGTGCCCTTTGTTCCCGTGTGGGTTCCGGGGCCCTATTACAGGGAAAACAAGAATAGACCCACTGCCTACCCAAAAGCATGTTGTAAGAGTCGACTAATTGGGAGCTTCCTTCGAAGTCGGAGTGCATCTGCCTGAGAGGCTAGGAACCAACAGTCTGCATACAAATTAGTTAGATCTGTCAAACGGATGCACTCACAACAATCAGGTTCTGGAACAGGACTGCAGTCCAGAAGTGGACGAACAACCAAAACTTTCCGCCAGAGTTTACAGCCGGTGAATGCGAAGAAGAAGTACCCTTTGTTGTTGTTTTTTTGTTGTTGAGACTTTATGATTTTGTCTGCATGTGTATTGGTATTTCCTTTCAGATTTCTTTTGTAAATATTCACAACTCTTCTTGTTCAATTTATTTGTTGCAATATCTTGCTAGAATTGTTTCTATTGATGCTTTGTTTCCTTGCTTATAAAACCATTCATTTATTTATTTTTTTCTGTATAATTCTTTAGTGCTAAGAGAATTCACTATGGTTTAAAATAAAAATTTATAATAAAAAGTAATGCTGTTGTTTTTTTTTTTTTTAGATCCGTGATAAAAACATTGTTCAGATCAAACAGGGTTTTGTTAATTCTTAATAAAGAAATCCTTACTACAAGTAATGAGGGGAAATTATAACACAGATGTGGAATCTTAGAAGAGCTGTTGAAGTAATACA